TTTCCCTACCCCCCTTGTTAATTCTGTATTGCTCAGTCTCTCTCAGTTGGAGTGGGGCGAGGGGAGTCCATTGAAGTAGCTGAACTAGGGGAGGAATTTAATGGTTGGTTTAATTGTGAAATCAAGTAATGTTCTGATTCAGCTATGGGTAGAGAGGAGAGATTAAATAATATTTTAGGGATCTCTCTCTCCTTCCTTCCCTTTCCCTTCTTCGTCGCTTGGTTCTGGTTTTCTCTTGTTGGCTTCATTCTTGGTAATAATTTTTTGATGTATAGGAAAGAAGGCTCCTGGGATCTTCTAGGTTGCTCTCTTAAAAGGAGAAGGGATGATTCATATTCTTGGAATCCATATTAACTCCTCCCACAAAACATTGCCTAACTGGGTCGTATGCTCATGGTAGGGCCAATCACAGTGTGTAGGGTAGTGGGGTATTTTTATTGGTCCACCTTGTGATTGATACTCTCATCATAGAATCATACTAAGTAGAGAAGTTTCCAGAAGGAAGAGCTTTAGGACAAAAAGTTCATTGTAGTTTGTAAGAGCTTTTTATATCTTAAAAGATATATAAGGTTAAACCACCAAGTTCCATGAGGGCATGGATTTTTGTGAAGTTTGTTCATTGTGATATCTTAAACACCTAGAAAAGGACCTCACACATGGTAGGCATTCAGTAAAATTATATTGATTAAATGAATAAAGACAATAATTTTACTTATGGTGAATTTTATATTTAGAAAGTTGAATTGCATGTAGCCTAATCTATCAGTCCTTTTCTTTTATGATTTCTGTTACTTTCAGAAACTTTTTATATGATGGTCACATTATATTTTAAGCCCATTTTCACAAAAGTCACTTCAAATGTATGTTGTTCGCATTTGTGGTTAGATAATTCATGACTTTTTTTCTAGACCTGTCAGTATACTGTGCTTTATGTAGCAGGATTTGAAACTTTATTGGTTTACTCTTTTAGGTAAATATAAATGACTTAAAATCTGCTGCCACTCACTATATCAAGAGATATTGTACTGGATATTTTTGCAAAGAATTACTTTTCTGTCTGAATGGTCTCTTTATTAAAAATCTCTTTGACAGCCCAACTTGCCTGGCTCAGTGGTTGAATGTCGACCTATAAACCAGGAGGTCAGGGTTTGATTCCCTGTCAGGGCACATGCCTGGGTTGTGAGCTCGATTCCCATCCGGGGGCTTGCAGGAGGCAGCCGATCAATGATTCTCTCTCATCATTGATGTTTTTTTTTCTCTCTCTCCCTCTCCTTTCCTCTCTGAAATCGATAAAAATATATTTTTAAAAATCTCTTTAACAAATCGTATTTTCATATACAAAAACTTTCTGGCAATTCAAACAGTATGGGCCCAAAGTTAT